TTAATTTTTCCCACATATCGTGGCTCGACTCGCAACTCATAATGTGTATCAGCGATTGCTTGTCCACCGTCGTGACTATCACTTTACGCGCCTTTGCGTCGTTCTTCTTCCACTGCTCGGTTTGGAATTCGACCGCAGACAGTGTTGTTACATTGTCGTAAAGGTCACTGGCTTTTAGTATTATACCTATTGGAATTTCCACAGCGGGTAGCCTTCCGTATTCTTTAATCTGTCCACGCTGTCCAGGTTCTCGGAGACTGTGTTCGACGACATCCTCTCCGTCTTCTTCTTCTAGGCACATTCGATTTTCTCGGTCGGTTATCGCGGGCTTCACTTTTCACTTTTTTTCAGTGTTTTTACTTTTTTACGCCACGCAACGCCACGTGGCTGGGCCCATAACCTGAAGGATTTTTATCTTCGGGCGAGGTTGCGTGGGGAAAATCACGAAGAACTTTTGTTGCAGTGAACAAACAAATATATATATATGTGTATTTAACTAACAGTGTACAGCATTTCTACCAACCTTTGCGGTTCGACCAACACTTTCGCTGAGACAATCTTTTCTTGTAGACATGTTCGCCAGGACCGTTGCCACGAATCTGCTTCGCACGTACGGTCGCTGCTTCCGCGTTGCTGGATAACGCGCACGCTGCGCCATCGGTCCTCGACACCGCGAGCGCTTTCTCCTTCTGATCGGGCGCTTCGCGCCAAATTCGAATTAGGATTATTTCGTTTCCAACACAAAACGCCATTTGTAAAAACTGACACAGCGTATGTTAATTTTGTCATTTATAAAAATATTGGCATGTATATATATATATATATTTTATTTCTAAATTAATTTCTAAATTAAAGAATTATTAATCAAATATACCTGTAATCTCTCAGTCAATTGTGCATAATCCTTGAGTTTATCTTTGGGTACTTTAGTTGAAATTTCTTTAAATGCATTTGTTTCAACAAGATGTACTACATTCTGCTAACAAGCCAAACACATCAGTTTTAAGTATATAAGCTGATTCATATGATAAGAAAATAATATAACAATTATTGTACACAAATAATATGTAAAATAGAAAATTACTTAAAATAATATTAATCTATAAAATATAATGTTAATAATTATACAATAAAATATATATGTAGAAAAATTAAATATTTTTACGAAATAAATAACTAACCTAAAGACCGGTGGTACATAATCGTTCCATCGCATTAATTCACGCTATGATAGCATTATATATATTATAACTGCCAAAAAGTCGTCCATTTTTTCTAAACGCAGCATTAATAATTTTTTATATCAAAATATACTTTTATAATATATATAAAATAATATAAAATTTTGACAGAATCGAGAGCGATGAAATACACTTGATATTTGTATACGCCGTATTGGTAAGGTACGGTTTGTACAAACTGTATTGTACGATATGTACCGATAATACGCACTAATACGTAGTACAGGTACAATGATGATACGCTGTACTACGTATATCACGTATTGGTTTTGTACTGTTACCATACGGTTATAGGAATTGTCCCTATAAAGAAGTAAGGGAGATAAGGAGTGAAAGAGGAACCGGATGAAATCACTGTACAACTTATCTATCGACTAACACTTAATATAATTGAAATAATCGCAAAATATATACACTATTTACAGTTTCTAACAAGTGGGAATTTTTGTCTCTATCTTGATAGTTTTAATCAAGCAATTCGCGATTGAACGACTTTATAAAACGTAATGCTCGTTAATGATCGAGATCAACTATCGTTATCGTATTGTCACTCCGAACGTTCGCACGAATCTAACTGTTAGATTTCAAAGATCTAAAAGTCCGAGTCATTTTTACACCCGGAACTTTCCGCTGGCGCCGGATGTTGGTGTCGCTGCGTGGCGCTGTTGTAGCTCGTCCAATGAGGGGATCGCTACAGTACTCCCCCCCGAGCGACCTTATCGGGGAGCGAAATATACTTTGCGAATTCCCCGTGCGGCTTCCTGGATTGGTTTGGGAATGGTGTTGGTGCTCGTGGCGGCCGTTCTCCCGTACGTCGCTAGTGGAGGTTCGCCCGAGGTAGTCTCCAGGAACGCTGGTTTCAGTCGATCGATGGACACGTCTGTTGGTTGTCCTCTGATGTCGATCCTAAAACAGAAATCGCTAATTCGTTCTATGACAGCGTAAGGACCTTCGTACAGCTGGTGCAATGGTCCCCGCATGCTGTTTACACGTAAAAAGACGTGGGTGCATGTGCACAGAGTCTTGTGTGTGAATGTTCGTGGTCTGTTGTGGTGTGCTGTTTGTCGTGATCGTATTTCCCGCATCGCCTGTCGTAATTTTTCCAGGAATGGAAACGGGTCCTGAGATGGCTCCTCCTGGCTGAAATATTCGCCGGGTATTCTCAGCTGCGTCCCGTACACGAGTTCGGCAGCAGATGTACTGATGTCTTCTTTTAACGCGTTCCGCAATCCCAACATCACTACGGGCAGGACTTTTACCCAATCGGTCGTCTCGTGACATTTGATTGCGGTCTGTACGCGGTTGTGTGTTGTGTCCTGCAACCAATTAATTTTGTTAACGCCTTAAACAATCGTGCTTCAAACTGTGATCCTCTGTCAGTTGTGATGACTGTTGGTGAACCGAATCGTGCTACCCAGGATCCGAAAAATGCGTTTGCGATGGTGTCCACGGTGATGTCTAGAATCGGAACCGCCTCCGGCCATCTGGTAAACCTGTCGATCATTGTTAGACAGTAACGGTAACCTCGTGATGGTGGTAGTGGTCCTACGATATCCAAGTGTATGTGTGCGAATCTGTCTTCTGGTACTTTAATGTGTTCCCGCTTCCTTCTAACATGTCTGCTAATTTTGGCCCGTTGACATTGCAGGCATGTGCGAGCCCATTCGCCGATGTCTTTGTTCATGGCCGGCCACACGAATTTGGACGCTATGTTCTTCCTAGTCACCCTGCCGCTGGAGTGAGTTGTATTATGGACGACATCGAAGATCCTCTTCCTTAGGGGTTTTGGAATGTAAGGTCTGATGCTGTCCGTTGATATGTCGCAGTATACTGTGGTTTCCGTGCCTTCTAATCGTAATCGTTTTAATTGCAGTTCGCCTGAATTTTTAAGGAGGCTTTTAAGCTCCTCGTCCGTCTGCTGTTCTGCCGCTATGTCCTCTGTCGTGACGATGACAGGCAACGTGATGTCGTTCATCCGTGATAGTGCGTCAGCTACGATGTTGTCCAGGCCTGAGATGTCTCGGATATCCATTGTGAACTGGCCTATGAAATCCAAGTGCCTTTGTTATCGTGGCGTGGCTTTGGTTGGTCGCTGGTCGAAAGCATATGTCAACGGCTTGTGGTCCGTGAATATTGTTTCTCTGCCTTTAATCATGTATTTAAAATAATGTATAGCAGTATACATAGCCAATAACTCATGATCGTATGTGCTATATTTCGTCTGTGTTTCTGTGAGTTTTCTCGAGAAAAATCCAAGTGGCTGACGTTTTCCTTCATTTATTTGTTCTAGGGCTGCTTCCATGGCAAGGTCTGAAGCGTCTGTAACCAAGAAAAGTCGTGCTCCTTCTACTGGGTGAGCCAGCATTGCTGTATTTGTCAGTTGTTCCTTGCAGCTTCTGAATGCCTCTTCTGTGCTGGTGGTCCACTCGATTGGTCTTCTATCCTTCTTCTTCGCTCCTGCGGTGAGTTTGTGTAAAGGCGCCTGTATTTTTGCCGCGTTCGAAATGGAAGGTCTATAAAAATTTAACATTCCCAGGAATGTTCTGAGTTCAGCGATGTTCTTCGGCTTCGGATAGTCCAGGATTGCGCGCACTCGGTGTTCCAGTGGTTTGGTTCCTTCCGGCGTAATGAGGTGTCCCAGGTATTCCACTTCTTCCCTTCCGAACACGCATTTCGTTGGTTTGATTGTAATGCCATGGTTTTCTAGTCGCGTCAGTATTATGTCAAGATGTTTTTTGTGTTCTGCCGTTTGTGATGCGATTAATATATCATCTAGATAACAAAAGCAGAAATCTATATCTCGTAATATGCTGTCCATAAATCGTTGGAATGTTTGCGCTGCGTTTGTTAGACCGAATGGCATTACATTAAACTCGTACAATCCGAATGGAGTTATTAACGCTGTCTTTTTTTTGTCCTCAGGTTCCATCGGGATGTTAAAGTACGCACGCTCCAAGTCCAGCGTGGTGAATATTGTGCATCCGTGGAGTTTGTGAGCAAAATCTCGGAGATTTGGAACGGGATATTTATCCGGGAGCGTTATCCTATTCAGTCGACGGTAGTCTCCGCATATTCTCCACGTGCCATCCTTCTTCTTGCGCATCAACATCGCACTTGCGTATGGACTGCTGGATGGATTCAGTATTCCATTGGCTATCCAAGTCTTGATTTCGCGCTTCGCGTACCGCATTCTTTCCGGTGAGAGTCGTCGTACCCTGTCCGTGCAAGGCGGACCTTTCGTCACTATGTGATGCCGGACCGGGTGTTGTGGCTCTCTATATCTTGCGGGAAGTGTTACCTTAATATGTTTCTGTAAAATATCTTTGAATACATTATTTAAACTTATTGTACTAATGCATGCAATATTCGCGGTAATTATTTGTCTATGCGTGGTTAGATTTGTATTGGTGTCTAGCAATCGTTTACCTCTTAAGTCTGGTAATAAATTGTATTCATGCAAAAAATCGTTACCGATAATCGGTTGTCCGACCTCTGCTATGACGAACGTCCAAATAAACTTTCGTTTTAAACCAAGGTCGACTATTAGTTTTTTTTCTCCATATGTTAATATTGTGGATCCGTTAGCAGCGTTTAAAACTCGGTCCGTTTGAAAAATGTTTTTGAATTTTGACCTTAGAATGACTGATATGTCGGCACCGGTATCTACAAGAAAACGTGTGCTCGTTTTCCGATCGACGACTATGAGTCATCTCGCAAGCTCTGTTCCACCGGCGGCGGCCCCAATGCACGCCGGCAGAATTAGTTTTTCTGCGCCTTATTATTTAGCTGTCGGTCCCAGGTACATGGTTGGCGACAGCGGTATGCGTCCGCTCCGAATCTCTCGTGATAGTAACAATATGATGTTTCTTCTTTGTTCTGGGGAGTAACCGCGCGTCTACGAAGTGTTCCGCGATTCTTACTCCGACTTTGACTGCGACTTCGACTACGTCCTTTGTTAGTGAAAGCGCGTTCGATCTTACGTGTTAACGCTTCTACCGCCAGGCGTAATTCGGTAATTTCAGTTTGTTCGGATGCCGGCTTATGGTTAGTCGTCGTCGAAATATCGGAAGGTAAAGCTACAGTACCTGACGTGCCAATGTTCGCCAATTGTGGTCGCGTTACCTCCAGTGTTCGGTCGGCCTGCGTAGCGAGCGTGGCAAGGTCGTCCACCTGGTTGACTGCCAGGATACCTCTCATGTGCTCCGGCATCTGCTCCATGAATAGCGTGCGCAGCACATGATCGTTGCACTGTCCCGCTGCTAAGTTCCGGAGTCGCTGTAGAAACACGGACGGTTTCTCGTCTCCCAATGCTTGTCTTCGGAGTTGACGTCGCATCCTCGTCTCTTGCGAGTCGGATAGACTGTCAAAGATCCGGCGTTTGATCGCCTCGTACTTTCCGTTGATCGGTGGAGCATCTATGATGTCACCTACTATATCTAAAAGATCGACGTCTAGGTGGATGATGACGTGGCGGTATTTGCTCTTGTCCAACGTTATGTGATGTAATGCGAACGTCATTTTAGCTATTGTAAAATATCGTGCAGGGTTCTCTTGCCAGAAGGGCTGCGTTAATTTAATCGCCTTGATTTCCGATACGACGGGTAATTGCGGTGTGATCTCATTTTTGCTGTGACTTTGTTCGTTCATCTCGCCAAGATTTCTTTGATGCAATGTGTCCTGGCTCTTGCTTTGTGGAGTCCCGGGTGGAGAGTGTCCTATCGGCATCCCTTATCCGCGCGTCTAGCTCCTTAATCTTCTTTTCGAATACGGCTGCGTTTACTCCGACTACCTTTCGCCGATCACGTCGGGGTCACCAATTTTATAGGGAATTGCCCCTATAAAGGAGTAAGGGAGATAAGGAGTGAAGGAGGAACCGGATAAAATCACTGTACAACTTATCTATCGACTAACACTTAATATAATTGAAATAATCGCAAAATATATACACTATTTACAGTTTCTAACAAGTGGGAATTTTTGTCTCTACGAGAGTGGTCTGAAAAGTTTCCGACCTCAACGTGAAGATGGCAACACTCGTAAATAAAAGCTAGTGAATTTCGTTGTTCATTTGTTGACAGTTACTCACCGAAGTTTCAGCCATTTTGGACTCGCAGTTTTTATGTAACAGTCGTTTGAGTAAGTTGATGTGAGTGTTTTTGTGAAAATCGAGTATCGAGCTGTTATTAAATATTTGTTTTTAAAAGGCAATACGCCTACGCAAATCAAAGATGAGTTGGATTCTGTGTATGGGGACTCTGCACCATCATTTACCACAGTGAAATTTTGGGCAGCTGAATTTAAACGTGGCCGTAAGAGCTTGGGAGACGATGAACGTTCGGGACGTCCAAAAACTGCAACTACCGACGAAAACATCGCCAAAGTTCACCAAATGGTGCTAGACGACCGCCGAATTAAAGTGAGAGAGATAGCAGAGGTTATGAACATGTCAAAAGAACGTGTTTGTCGCATATTAAATCAACATTTAGGCATGAGAAAGCTGTCCGCGCGTTGGGTGCCGCGTTTGCTTACGTTAGACCAAAAACGTGTTCGAATGAACATTTCCAACGCTCTGTTGGCGCAGTTTAGGCGCAATAAATCCGAGTTTTGGCGCCGATTAATTACTGTAGATGAAACTTGGATACACCATTATACGCCTGAAACAAAATACAGTCCAAACAGTGGACTGCAAAGGAGGAACCGGCTCCAGAAAAAGCAAAAACTGTTTTTTTCGGCTGGGAAAGTGATGGCGACTGTTTTTTGGGATAGTCATGGAGTTATTTTAATCGATTATCTTCAAAAAGGAAAAACCATTACAAAAGCATACTACGCATCATTACTTGACAAGCTGAAGGAAGAACTTGCGGGAAAACGGCCACATTTGCAGAAAAAAAAATCCTGTTTCACCAAGACAACGCACCGTCTCACACCTCAGCGGTTGCCATGGCGAAAATCCACGAATTACGGTTTGAACTGCTTGACCATCCGCCTTACTCACCAGATCTAGCCCCAAGCGACTTCTTTTTGTTCCCTCATCTAAAAATTGCGCTCGGAGGACAGAGATTTTCGTCAAATGAAGAGGCAATCACCTTCGTAAACAATTATTTTGCAGAGAAAAACGCCGAGTACTATTTGGACGGGTTACAGAGATGGGAGCATCGCTGGAAAAAGTGTGTAGATTTACAAGGAGACTATGTTAAAAAATAAAAAACAATTTTCAGAAAAAATGACTTGTATCTTTGTTAGGTTGGAAACTTTTCAGACCACCCTCGTATCTGGATAGTTTTAATCAAGCAATTCGCGATTGAACGACTTTATAAAACGTAATGCTCGTTAATGATCGAGATCAACTATCGTTATCGTATTGTCACTCCGAACGTTCGCAAGAATTTAACTGTTAGATTTCAAAGATCTAAAAGTCCGAGTCATTTTTACACCCGGAACTTTCCGCTGGCGCCGGATGTTGGTGTCGCTGCGTGGCGCTGTTGTAGCTCGTCCAATGAGAGGATCGCTACACGGTTACTCCGTATGCTGCCATCTCGTAGCGGTACAGTAATAGTACAATAGCGGTATTTTGTGCATGAATCGTACGCTTGGTTATCTGGAAACCGAAAAACTTTCTTGAAACTGAGATAAGCTAGCAACCGACCGTTCTGCACCGCTCGCCATTCGCTCTCCTTTATAAATGTTATATAACTAACATGCCAACAGTGTTATCTAGATTCTCTCGTCACCCCAAATAACAAAATACTTCCACGGTACCGGTACCGTCCGTCGTATGTTATGTATCAGTACGGTATCTATCATGTACGTGCGTACCGTAGGCGTACATTACCAGTACACCGTATTAGTACGCGGTACGGCTACTGTAGCGTCACTGTATCACCACTGTATATTAAAATAAAATTTTATCATACGCTGTACTCTTATAATACTAGTATAATATCAGTACGATACCAGTACAACATCACAGTTCCAGCACAAAAAAGGATTTTCGTACACGCTTCCTCTTTTTCTTCCCTTTTTCTTTTTATTATTATTTTATAATTAAAAAAACAGTAAAGCTAATTTTATAATTAAAAAACAATTATTTATTTACATCTCGTATAAAATACATATAATTTTTTAAAAAGAGATATATATACCTAGCAAACACAGTATATAAATGTTATATACTTAAGCATGTTACATGTAACGTATATGTTAGTTGTAATTTCCAGCTCATAGATGTAACATTTTTAATATTACATATATTACATTGTAGTTATATTATCATTATATCCCAAGATAGCACTGACTTATCAATACATCAATGTGCTATTTGGTATATAATTACAATATAACTACAATATATGTTATATTAAAAATTATAATATATGTTATATTAAAATGTTATATTAAAATGTTACATCTATGAGTGGGAAATTACAACTAACATGGATGTTACATGTAACGTACACGTTATATTACCTGTTATATTCCGTTTTATTATAGCAATGTAATAATTATATATTAATGTTTGTTGGGATATATATACAGAGTGGGCCATTTTAAAAAAGACGATCAATTTTCTCGTAAACTAAGCGAAATATCGAAAAATGGTTCAGACAAGTGTTGTATGGTTTCGAAAGGGCTGTAAGATCGTGCCATTGGTTTGACCTTGGATATTCATTTGAAGATCACGCAAAGGTTACCTCAATTTTTTTAAACGGCACCCCCTATTTTTTATTACATATTCTTGTAGCTGACCTCGAGAGCTTTCCAAAACATTATAGTCAAATGTTTTTTCATTGCGTACTTTTCGAGTTATAAAGCTCGAAAGTTACTACATTTTGATAAAAATACAAAATATTTCTTAAAATATTCATTTTCCAATAGTTTTATTTTACATGCTCCGACCAATCAGGGCAAAGTCCAAGCATGATCCAGCTAGTCAAGACAAGATCCGGACACGATTCAACCAGTCAAAACAAGATACGAACACGATCCATCCAGTAAAGGCAAGATACAAACACGATCCAGCCAGTCAAGACAAGATCTGGACATGATCCATTCAATAAAGGCAAGATACGAATACGATCCAGCCAGTCAAGGCAAGATACGAACACGGATCCAGCCAGTCAAGGTAAGATACGAACACGATCCATCCAGTAAAGGCAAGATACGAACATAATCTAGCCAGTCAAAGCAAGATCGTTGATGGTTCTGTCAACTAAAGTAAGATCAAGAAGAATCCTGCCACCAAAGGCAAAATCGAGAATAATCCAGTCAAAAAAAATTTATCGAATCAATTGTTCGAAGTTGTCTCCATTGGCTTGGATACATAATGCCAACCTATCTTGGAAATGTCTTACTGTCTTGAGTAACATATCGTGCGTTATCCTTCTGCAAGCTTCTCGTATCCTTTCTATCATATTTTCTCTCGTTGTAGGCGTTTGCTCGTACGCGACATTTTTCAGGTATCCCCATAAGAAAAAGTCGGGCGACGTCAGATCAGAAGATCGTGGAGGCCACGCGACGGGTGCATCTCGTCCAATCCATCTGCCATTATACGTTTCATTCAGGTAATCTCTCACACATCTTGTATAGTGAGGTGGTGCGCCATCGAGTTGTATCCATAACCTCTGGCGTGTTTGCAGGTCAACGTTTTCAAATAATTGTGGTAAGTCATCTCTAAGAAATGCCAAAAAGTTTTCTCTGTTGACATTTAAAATTTCATAATTAAAATTTCTGAATGAGTCTTTTCTTTTTCAGTTTTTTCTTTATTTGCTGTATTTCTCTCATCATGCACAGGAACATTTTCGTATGTTGTAGGCTCTATATGTATCCAATCCATTACATCTTCTTTTGACGTATAAGTATCAAAATTTAATCTCGGGGGGAGATAAGTTCGTAATGGAGGCTGTTCAAATAATTGATTTACAATTTCCACATTTTCGCTTTCCAATGACGTTCCTGCTGTTGTATTATTGTTTATATTTATAAGTTCTTCCCTTTCTGCTTCCATCTCATTTATTCTCTCAGCCGGTTCTATTATTATTTCTGATTCTTGTCTCAAATCGAATCGAATGGGCACTGCGTCACGTTTTAATTTTTTCTTATCTTCTCCTTTAAAACTATCTTCACTAAAGTGATCCGCACATAAACCGGCACGACGAACAGAATTAACAGACCATCTTTCCAAATTAATATTTCCTGAAACAAAATTATTTTATGACACGTAACATTTAATGCACAATTTCATAAGATATTTTAATTGTGAATTTTCTGCAGAACAGAATTCGACACTCCAACAAATTTTTATATCAAATAATTTTTTTATCTAATATATACTTTGATCGTTATATTTATTAATTAAAAATATTTTAATAATTATTGAAGTAAAAAAGTATTAATTGAAGTAGAAAATAATAATTTATTAACCTTTTAACACCTAAGTGAACAAATATGTCCATGCACTTTTGAGTGCTGAAGAAAAATTTGCAATCGATAACAAAGCTTGTAATTCATTAAGGCTCCTGAGTAGTCACCGCGTACATATTGAATTGTGACGTCAGAGGCGAGGAAAAACGGCTAAAAATTCTTGCGTGCCATTTTTAACTAAAACGATATGTTGATGAAATAACACGATACAGCACTTTAACACACTTGTAAAATTGTCCAAAAACTCTGCTTTTTCCTTGACCGTTAATAAACAACCGTCAAATGAGTGTCAAAATATGCATAAAATGAGGCATACTTTGACACTCATTTGACGGTTGTTTATTAACGGTCAAGGAAAAAGCAGAGTTTTCGGACAATTTTACAAGTGTGGTAAAGTGCTGTATCGTGTTATTTCATCAAAATATCTTTTTAGTTAAAAATGGCACGCAAGAATTTTTAGCCGTTTTTCCTCGCCTCTGACGTCATAATTCAATATGGCCGCGGTGACTACTCAGGAGCCTTAAGCTTTTTTGTTTATCCCTCTCAAAGTAAACAAAAAGCTTGGTAAATTAGAACTAAAAACTGCATGGACATACATATTTCTAACTGGGCATTACAGGATTAATGATTGTATTGATAATATTAATTTATAAAACTATGAATAATATTTGATATAAATTATGTAAAATTAAAATACAAATAATTATACATAAATAAATAATATTTACAATAATTATAATAAAGATATATTTAAAAAAATTTTTAATAAGGAAATGATAAAAAATGTTTTACAACATTAAAAATATTTTAAAATATATTTACATGTTAATAATATTTGTAATAAAAATATTGTGTGTATATGTATATATAGTATATATATATAATCTTTTTTTAATGTTACGAAAAGCCTTTTACATATATCTACCTTTCATTTTGTCATATAAAATGTAAAAAAAGGTAAAAAAAAGGATTTAAAGTTCTCAAATAACATCAAGAAGACATATTATCTAAATGTTTATTATGTTTATTACAACAAGTTATTGGAAGTACCAGATGGGATTTACAAATTTTTCCGTACACGCGCGTAATTCATTTCGCGCAACCTGTAAATTTGGTTCGGGCAGTACAAAAGATTCCGGCCATTGACAACGTGACGCGTTTGACAAGTCACGGCTTGAAAAGAGAAATTATATATATATTTTTGGTACATTCTCTAATCTGATTATGAGAGACGTGAGAAGGAAAAGATCAGACGTTGTGCGGCGAGATTACTTATCTTTGCAAGAACTTACTTATCCTCGCCCCCTGCGATATTCCCTAAATCTCTCGCCATGAAATAGTCGCGCAATCGCTGCTGAAAAGACAGATCGGCGTCTTTTAAATTAATGATCCGAAACACACTGCAAAGAAAAGTAAAGCTTTTTTCCATTCCTATCGCATTAAACAACTTGAATGGCCACCGCAGTCTCTAGATTTCAATCCTATTGAATATCTGTGGGCAATTGTGGATAATAGGATCAACAAGAGCTGAATAACTAATAAGAATTCCTATTTTGAAGCAATACAATTAGCATGGAAAAATTT